GTGTTGTGTGTTGTGTGTTGTGTGTTGTGTGTTGTGTGTTGTGTGTTGTGTGTTGTGTGTTGTGTGTTGTGTGTTGTTTGAGTGTAATACTTGTGTAATTTGTATTAGTTGATGTGGTAGTGGGAGGCTGCGTATTTAAGTGTAATCGTCGTCATGAAGTTGGATCACCAATCATGCGACGTTCGGGCTATCTGCCATTGCTCACTATTTCTCTTTATTATTAAATCGAAAAAAGAAACAATGCTGCTTCGGTCAAGTCCATTATAATCTGTCATACGTTATCCCGGAGTTGTTGTTCCAGATTTTATTGTATACTGTTATCAGATTATACTTTATTTGTATTCGTAAATTACAATATCTAATGTGGTTGAAAGTCTTAATTTACAACATAATATGAGCATCACAACGCCATTGTGTTTGTATTTATCACGCATTCAGACAACTTGGTATATTGTATAATATGATAATATTTGCAAAATTCGCAAGATTTATTATTACACTGGTTGTATTGAGAGAGTAAATCTTCCAAGCATAATTCTACAGTATACAGTATACAGTAACCGGAGTTAAAGTAGCGTAATAGTTGCTGAAGTAAAAAAAGTATTGTGTACCGTATAAATTAGCAGTATAACTGATGACAAAAAAAAAATCCGCAGCATGGCAGCTTTCAGCCCAATACCGATCAGGAAAAAACAATAGTGATAGCATTGAAACCCAAGAAACAATACTCGATCCATCAACAATGAAGTTTAAGAGTTGCCTTTATTGTTAGTGTATCAACGTACAACAGTTGCATATGATCAAATGGTACTGTGAGAAGATAACGTTGATAGCGTCTTACTTGCGAGTGTCCGCACATGTTGATAAAACGGATTGATCAGTACAACTATAGCATTTCAACACATCATGCAATTTCTTGGTATTCAATCCGTCATTTTATTGTTGAAACAAGTGCAAGTCACTAAAACGTCTGTTGCAAAAGGTTTGCCAGTGGGATTAGTTGAAACATATGCCGAAAATTCTTTCACTTACGAATGATTGTCATACTGCGCCTATTACTCTATACGATTAATGATCATCTGACTTGTAACCCCGTCCTCATTCCTAGTAGACCGTGTTCAGATAATAACGCACGTTCCATAAAAATCCACTATGGCAAGCTATTTTTAATATGCGAAAATTGTGGCAAGAATGAAGTTTTTTGGTAAATGATTCTATTGTAATGAAATCCGTTATAACAAGCATTGATCGTAAACGTTTGTAGAAAAAAAATTTTAAACCAAACTTTTTTTGTAATAGTATCAATTCGATTAATAGTAAACAACGAATAATCGAAATTATTAATGTGCCCTGCGTGTATTGTCGACTCATCTACGGAAACAATGAACTTCTTTATTGTGTACAACAAAACATTACTTTTCTGCGTTTGATAACATAAATAAATACAGAATTATTAAAGACTAGGGCCTTTTTTTACATACGCGGTGACAATATGGGAGAGCATATGATTGGTCAACTTGCAACTTTAAAAAATATATCGATGTGATAATACTTCGGAAAATAACATTTCTTTCCGCAAGAAAATAAATACATACGTGGTAGCAAAACCAAATGCTGTTCGCGACTATGTGCAAATACACCAAATCACATGATCATGGTCATTGTACTATTTGAATTTGCAGTGCCCAAATTTGATACTTGATTTGATCCAATTAATCGCTGGCTGTAGAAGACCTACAGCTTTTACTGAATGCGTTTCTTGCCGTAATTGTTGATAAGCGCTTTCCGGTAACATTCGGCAAGTGTATAGTTGGTAGTAACTTTTTGCCCTCGATGAATTCTCTAATGCGGTTGAAAGCGACAAGCTATGCATGGCAGCTATCTCAAGCATGGCTACTGATCACGACCAACTGGTCATTCCACCTTGTCTTTTCTGTATCCAGGTTCTCTTGTTCTGCGGATCTTTTCGTCGGATCGGCCAGACGGCGCCTGCAGTCTGTATTAAATATAATGTTGGTAATGGAACTACAATAAATACGGATCAAGTTCGAATGAGTTCAGCGCAGGGTAAGTTGGTGTTTTAATGAAATCATGTAGTAATCGCATGTAACTTTATCACTCAACAGATTAATTATTGCTGTCTTAGTATTGCCGAGAAAAGTTGGAAAATTCGGTTATCTGGCTGACCGTGTGTGATACCTGTTACGTCCACCATGTACGCAGATCAGCAACAAGAGCTGCAACAATTGCCACCACCACCATCATCACAACAGGATCAATCACAGCAACCGCAACAGCCGCAACAACAAACTCCCTTCGCTTACCAATACCATCAGTTTAATCCTATCACAGAACGAACTGTCTACTATAATGGGAAGGCGTCCTCGAGTCTGCATCTTTTACAACATTTCTTCATGTTTTATTGAATCTAGAAGCTTGCGGGTGGATGTTAGTAATGGACTATTTGTAATGACGGGCGAGATTTGACGGCGATGGTCCAGGGCATGTTATATTTTCTATCAGGTATTGCTGTGACAGTTCAACGCAAGCAATTATTAATCATTATTCATTCCAACTACATTCTGAAAATGCAGGCCATAGAATCTCGATTGATCTTTACACCAACAACATGCGCCTTGACACTCGGTGGTGGATATGTTGTTAGAGGTAATGAGATGTTCACAACTACCTATATGCCTGACTATCCGCCCGCAGACGGGCTCCGTGGGCAATGTATCACATTGACGTATTACAGTCTTGGCTTAACCCTCACGAGTCGATAAACAAACGGCGCGACCTTTGAGACAATTGACGCTCAGAAGTTTAATGGGCACGTTGGGATATCAGAACCAATGTCTTTCCTCTATTACTAGATTCATATGGTAAATGTATTATTATCATCAAAATACAATTATAGCTTCAATGGGAAATGGTGCATAGCTATATGGAATGTTTTGGAAGCATTCAATTCTGGTTTCATCTGTTAACAATACTAATTGGTTTTGCGCTGAAAATATTCTATTACTATACTTTAGATTACAATTTCAGTACACGAGTTTCCCCCGACGAAGGAGTCGGTTGTACACGACGTAGCGTACATGCAACGTACAATGTACAGTACCATGAGGCTTACCCAGACTTAAAACTGATACGTCAACAACGATGATCGTTTTATTGGGAACTACACTTGCGAGCACCGGTAAGAGTATCCGAAAATTTGAATAATGGTATGTAAATTCCCATGATCCACGAGCATTGGCCAACGTATTTATTCGTTTGCACCATTAATTTATCTATGAATCATAACAACTCTGTTCTTTTCTCTTGATTGGATGTGGATGCTTAGGCTTGCTCTTGGTAGTGTTGAAGTATTGGTGGTGATACGGAGACCCCGATGGTGCCGTGGGCTCGTTGCGCGTGCAAGCCAGATGATGCGAATTGCTCTATTATAGGAACGACGACACTCCTAATCGTTAATTTCTATGGCAGGGCGCGTATATTGTATCTAAAAAAAGGACTAACGACTCACACGTATGGGCGGGCCATTCCAAGATCAAACGCAAGTGAACACTCATCCTTGGATTCCCGTACTGGATTATCTTACGAGCGAATTCGGTTTACTGAACAGCTCTTATGGCTTGGATATTATTTCGTAAACGGCAACTGAATCGCGTCATGAACAAGCATGTTCTTTAATCACTATCAACAAATCGTATGGCTACTGACAAAAGGAGAAAAGCGAAGTGATGTAGACATTAGAACGTATTCTGCGCTCTAAAACTAGAAACCCAGATAATCAGAAGGTACGTAAAGAGGTTGTAGGAATAGGTACTCTAAAGCATGTGGAACCGATCATTCATACTGAATTGGATCGATTGTAGGGCGATCAGAACTTTATAAAAATCGTCAGTTCTTACATGAAAGTGCAGGGACCTATGAACAACACGATGAGCTTGCACTCTCAAACGAACTTGGTCACGTCCATTCTCTTACAACGGAGACAGAACTTCCCAGACAATAGATGCGGTTTCTGTGGTGAAGCACGGTTGCCCAATCCGTTGTATAAACTATTATTATTCGATTATATGTTGGTAATTGATGAAAGGACCAACGCCTCTCGACCGGCCAAGTATGTTAGGTGAAAATTGGTGCACTATCGAAGAAGATGGGGAAAATTTGCTGACACAATTATCGATCATTTGTCTAGATTCGCAACGGAGTATGCTTCCATCACGCACCTGAATCGCAATAGAGCACAATATGAGCTTTATTAAATAAAGCAATAAAATTGGACAGCTGTTACCATAATAAATTACATATGGTCTGAGTTTACTATAAATCTATACAAGTGGCTTCAATGAACTTCCGGGTCACACAACCACGGAATGAACAAACCTTAAATTTTGTATACATTCTCAAATGTAGGCTAAGCTCTTTCCGGCTAGAGGAGCGAGTTAATGCAAATTTTGCAGTATATTTATCAAATAGAAATCAATACCTTATAGTGCTACATCGTCTACGCATAACGGATTTGAGAATGTAAATTACAACAATTACCAATTGTTATCTCTCGATAATTCACGATACTGAGATACCCATGTTTCTATTCAACTAAAGAATATTGACTTCACTCTCTATTTTGTAATGAATCCAATTTCAGTCAATTTCAATTACATTGTGCGCGCCTTCTTAGAGATGAATAACACTGCTTTGTATTTAAACGCTTGCCTCAATTTTCAGATTCGTTTGGATCAGAGGGGACAAAGCAGCCATGAAAGTAGTTATAGCTTATAGTCTGCTCCTGACAATCACTGACTGGACAGACCACCATCTTGCCGCATTGACTGGCTTTCCGTCATTGAGTTTCAGGTGGCTGCTATTACAATCACTCGTCCCCACAGAATGGATTATTGTTGATTTTATCGTCAATCTTCTCTTGAATCGGTAAGATGAACATGTAGTCAGTATTACATACAATGATAATGGTAGGTAATAAATCATTAGCCTCAATTACCGTTGACAAAGAAAAGTATTGAAGACGGAAGCATCCGGTTTGGGATGATCTTACAAAATTGATGCTTTGCACAGATTGTCTTGGTCGTTGGATGTGAGTTCTCTGTGAAGAGGAGACGAAAAAGATAAATGTATTATACAGTTTGGATGAGCACAGCCATTATATTTCACTCTGAGAAGCTTACCAATGTCAGCAGATTAATAAATAGGAATTTGCCGACTGATGGCAAGACGTGGATGTTGTTGTAAAGGTCTCTTTCAATCTTTGAGATTATCGCAAACCATTATCTATGCAAATTAATTGACTATTAATGAATCCGCCCGCTTTATACCTCTCATTCTTCGTTCAATACCATCGTCCTTGTATTTGTGAATTGCTTGTAGATTGTCGGGTTTAGGAGTTACCTCGATTATTTAAATCTAAGAATTATACAGTTAGAAACGTAGAAACATGAGAAGCCATATAAATTCAGTGTCATAATACATTTCTACAAAGTTATATGAGGTAATCTTAATCGTTGGATGTTAAGACCACAAGCTGTTCAACTAAGCTGTCGACTATATCCCAAGTAATGAGCGAAATGGGTCAACTTTGGATAAAGTTTTGCACCACGAATCACTCATAATTGTCTGACGCCAGTAAAACGTACTCCTTCAAACTCTTTACGTCCCAAGACGGAATCAATCTCGACTGCAAAGTTTACGTGCAGTTTACATAGCCTAACTTCAATGTTGGCGTAGAGCGCTCTATTCCTTATTCCGTCATCGTTGTCACAAATTATACGGCGGATGACCCAATTCGCGATGATATATTCGTCCGTCCGCCTTTTCTCCGGGGCTGCTGCTTCGCGATTAGGTAAACTTGTTCTGATTAGACTGTAAAATTGTTTAAATTAATTATTAACCTGTGCGATCCATATTTGTCGAAGTCTGATGCAAAATACGGGAATTCATTGAGATTACCTATCCTATCTATCCTAGTCTTCGGTTGATATCATCGACACGTTGTGGTTGCACGCTTGGAAAGAATAGCTCTGAACGATGTCTTTTCTTTGAAGTTAAAGGGTGATAAGTTAAAACCTTTATATAGCAAAAACCGTTTGGGTCCAAACTGAGCTTAAGCTTGAATGACAAACAAAATTTGTTACAAATCTACGAAAGCAGAGTTTTGGCCTACCGAGACTTGAATTAGACCGTGAACTGCTTTACTACCCAGATGGCATGCGGTACAAGGACCATGATTGGAAGCAAAACAGATTCCCTGGAATTGTGTCGAAATTTCAAAGGGTTTTTCTGACAGTATTTTCGCTGCTAATTCTCGCGTCACGTATAGTTACGTGTTCGTATGACGAACGACGTTATTATTGTAAAGATATGAGAACATAACGTCGTGTGACAATGGTTACTAAGATTATCAATAATCAGGTATTTATTCATGTTACACGTTTCCTTTTTCACGAAATTTCACCCAAGTTTTCCATTCGTAAAAGAAAATATTGCGCTGTGTATCAAACAGATCTTTGACGTGGCAAGCACAGCAGTAACACATACCAACAAAAAATTAATAGCCTTAGTAGATAAGAAATGAATATTACCGCTGGTAACGACAATGTCCTCGTCAGATCTCCCGTTACCGAGTAAACAAGGTCACAAGCAGAAATCTGCCAAAAGTCTAATTGTACACATAGTACTAATGATATTACATCAGTGCAAAGATTCAACGCCTGATAAAGTCTAACCAAAAAACGCGTAGAATAACGAAATCGCATTTAACATTAAAATGTATTCGAACTTACCACAAGTCTTTCGCAATTGTTGATATTGATACGGTTTTTATCCAAAGACTTTTGAAATTAATTTACTTTATTAGCCAGATATACTTATGAATGGCTCACTTGAAGCTGTATAAACGGCTCATTAAAGATGTAGAATATTATTCATCAATTACGCGCGGAAAGCGGGAACGAGAGTCTATGATTAATATGGTAATAGTTGCGTAATTTGTTTAATCGAAGTTCGTCCACTTAAATTAGAATATATTCCCCTTCGATTCCGTAATATGATAATTATTATCGTTGTTGTTATTATCATATTATAGTCACTCTTATTTAAAGGTAAAAGGATACATTAACATAGAAAGTTTATTATTAATTGACCGGAGATATTTTAAACTGGGGATAGGATAAAAAGTTTCATTGTATTTGAATGTGCAACATACACAGTCACCCGACAAGAGGAGCTGATGTTCAGCGGAACACACCAGACAATGTCAGTGATGTCTCCAGTACAACAAGATTAATTCAGCCTATAACGACGCAGGAGGCAGCTACAACAATACAGAAAGTGATGGAGGATTCTCCAGTGTGAATGTATAAAAATCCATGAGGGGAAAGGCAAACAGTATGGATAGAGAAATGGAACGGAATGAAAATCTACGCTCCCCGTCTCAGAAGTCATCCCCTACATTTACCATGAATGCAACTACCGCACCATTAAGACTGAATTTAGAAGTAGTATATAATATGCTAGGCAGTAGATTTACAAGTTTATCTAAAACATAAAATTTTTATTCTATGAAAAGGTTATGCGACTCGAACATTGAAAGAGAGTCTAATGCTCGAACAAAACCTAACCGAACTTCAGAGCAAAAAATGAACGGCACAAAAGGCAAAAAAGAGAATCCACGGCTCGAGAATCTGCATGCAAAGCAACCACAGTCATCTTCTACTAATGATACTAACTTTCTTATTTCTCTCCCCTTTACAGCAAGATAGCATTTTTCTGGATTTTACCATGGTACCAAGGAGTGTTTCAGTTCCAAAAGCACGTGCGTATTCTTTTAATTTAAGCAGGTTGCAATGACATACTCTTGGAAAATGGATACTCCATGTCTTTTTTGTGGTGCCTTAAAATGGTTAGATGAGAAAGTCACAGAATCAACTAAACGTTCACCTGTTTTTGCAATCTGCTGTGCCAGGGAAAAGTTCTGTTACCATGTCTTAAGCAGTATTAAAGTCTTGTCTAATGGGTAATGATACAGCTTTATGAGAATTTTAACAAAACATCCGTGCATATAGCTCAGCTTTAGTACTAGCTTTTACTTCTATGGGAGCTAAAATTGATGATCATATAACTGGTGCAAGAGGCCCTTATACTTTCTGTATTCATGGTAAAGTGTATCATCTCTTTTTTCTCAGAACTTTATTATGATACTCTTGACACTACTTTACACTTGTAATATTGCTGAAGAAAATTTTGTACAGTTTTATAAAGAACATATCAAACCTTTTTTGACTATGCAACCGTTACATTGAAATTATTAACAAATGTAAGCCTATATTATATATATAATTTCAATATAAACACAAATAGTAACAGTGGCTGGCAGAACACTGGCATAGCAGCGTCGTGTGTTAGAAGATACCAATGATAATTTCAGAAACCACGTCACCATTAATATTAATTTTGAAACTTATTCACGATTCAAGCGATAAAAGCAATAATCAAATAAACAATTAGTATTATTTTCATACATTACACATCGAAGCAAAGAGATTAAAAAGGATCAAAAGTTAATTACATACAAGCGCGTCTTTTTGCGATTACGAATTTGTTTTATGTTAGTATACTTTTTTATAATCGCGTGTCGATAACCGCAGCTTTATGAATTGGCAATTTGTAAAGTAATTGTATTTATCATTAAATCACGACAATTTTAAAAAAGTAAATTCAAGCAAGGCCATGATAACAGTTGCTCTATTTGTGCATATTTGCGATATTAATATACAAATTTATGACTTTACTAATTCTGTATTTACATTTATGAGAATTATGTATAAGTAGAATCGATAGGAATGGGGTCCAGTATAAACTTCAGGGGGTCGATAACTTGCGGGTTATACTATGAATCTCAAATTTGTGGCAGCAAAAAAACATTCTAGTTTCGAAAAAAGCTAAAATATATTCTTACTTTTATTGTTAGGAGAATTAAGCCAATAATTAACAGCTACCAAAAAAGGTCTAACCCTTTATACTGATAAATGATATAGTAGTAATTTATCTCAAAATTTCAACGTTCCATTAGTATTAGTTTCTTATCAAATATATTCTCATAAACAATATTGCCATTCGCGATAAGTCGCGTCATCTGATCAGCAGTATATTTATCCAATTCGTCATATTGTCCAATATTTACAATAGTTCATTTATTAAGCCGTTCGACTCAACTAATAACCGAGACTTTTTATCTCTTTATTGTGTACATTCTATAAATAGTCTCAATCTTCGATACTTTTCCTATACCGTTGGTGAGCTAATTTCCAAAGCACACGCAAATACTCTCTGACTACAGGCTGGGTGTTCCAAGTACAACGCGCTAGCTAGCCGATTTCAAGAATCGGTACCGTGCTAAGTCTATAAGGTGGAAACTGCACGAGATTAAGTTCATGAGGAGTAAGATTATGTGCATGGGGAGTAAGCATATAGGCAGCGATGCAATAGTTCGATATAATAGTGTGAGACTTTACCATAGTTCGATATAAATCTCTTGTTTATTGGGTTAGATATTGGTGACACAGGAATAAGGCCCCTAGAATATCTTACAAGTCGGGGTACGCGCTAAGAAGACTATGGCATAATTTGTGCATTTATGCTTGGTTTTCTACAATCACGTCGGCCATTAGTACATGCACATTTACAGTCACATTTTGTTTGCCTTTCTTGCACTTACTATTTGTCGAGATAATAGGAAACAGTGAATTCTGGTAAAAACGTTAGCTGTTAGTGAGGACACCTTTTGTCTGTGTTTATGATATGTGTTAAACAAATTGACTCATGTATAACGACGTACGTTCGGTCTATGATTAGTGTTAATTATAATTAGTCAATCACTGTTAATCCAATGTTACTTTTTTCTTTCTGGAGTATTATAGGTCTTATGACAGTAATACGTAAAATGTGCATAAGCGATTCCGGTAACTTGCACAAGATTTACGTAATGAATGCGATTGTAATGACCTGCTGGTTGAGAAGAATGACAGCCGGAAAAAGGTTTCTCCTTGCGTGTTAATACACAACGCCATTGAAAAAATTATACTCATACTCAATGTAAAGCATCAGTAGTACATGCAATACAAATTTGCTTTCTTAATAGAACGCCAAGTTTTCTCCGTCCACCCGCTTGACAAAGCCTTCGGAAAAAAGTTATACATTGTTCTTTCATCACATGCAACGCCAAGCACTTTTTTTCCCATTCCAAACACTAAAAAAGGGAAGATAAAGAAAAAGAGATGTGCTGGATATCGTCGGAGATGCGGATGTTACAAGGAGACTGTAAGCAACACATGCAACCTACATGAGCTGTCTCTTACGCATAATACGCCATCCCTTATCATACGAGTACCCGAACCAAATAATTAAGTATTAAATTGGAAGCTTATTGATAGAATGAATGCAGATATGGTATTGTGCGCCTCAATCCTGTTTTTTACAAGGACTGTGCATATTGATGCTCCAAATCAGAAATGTTTGCTGTAAGATGGATTAGATCAGTGATTGAAAATCTAATAATAACACACAAATATGTATAAATGTATTATTCATACGGCATATTGCCATGTCCGGCAAAAAGTTTGTCCATGTGACAGGATCATAAAGATAACAGGAAAGAGGAAGGGGAGAAGGAAGGTGAGACGGTGGGAAAAAAATGAAACCAATTGCGATTAGTAATATGATAGATATGGTCTGAACAACTGTCAAACAAACTCGTGCTATCTACCATATGGAGAACCACTCCTATCTCTGCTTGAATCAACGAAACGTCCTTGAGCAGCTATTGTTTGGTTTGCCTTGTTCCCTTCCTGGTAACAGGGATAAATGGAGGTAAAAGTCTAAACTCTAACAATCTATTAGACAATCCGATAATCGTTTTGTAGGTTTTTTTCCCCTTCTAACCCAAACGCCCATCTTGAACTTTGTTTCTTCCCCGATACAAGGCAGGAAATGACAATGATATGCAAACAACTATGCATTGAGTTTGTCAATAACTTATAGCGTTTTCTATTTCAGTGCTTTATCCTGTTTATTATGATGTCACGATGAATCAGAGTTCTCCGTAAAATTTTCATCAATACATAATGAAGTTACCTTCTCATATTCTATCTCTTACAGTGATAGTAATCTCTGGTCCATCTTGCAAAATAATATTACTGTGAAAAACTTGTGTGACGAAAACATCTTTCACATCGTTTCACATATTAGGAAACATTAAAGTTCACAAGATCCGATATCACGGGATGACATGCATGAAAACGACCATTGTATTTTTGTGAAGATAACAACTTCCAACTCGACTCTTATTGAGAAGGAAGCGTAACGATATTACTATGGTGATAAATTTTTGTCTGCTGTAACAACAATAGTCCAAAATTTCTTTGACTTTTCTCTTCCGCAAAGTATTCTCGTTCCGCTGCGGATGTCCCTTACCGAGGGGATGTACATAAAAACGTGAAAGTTGTATAACATTCCAGATCGACATAGAACAATTTCATGGAATTCCTCGAGGTCCCGTGAATAAATTATGTAGAATATAATACAATAACTATGAGCTTTTTTTGCGACAGTCTCTCAAGGGCGTATAATATAAAATATCCAATTAAAGACAAGCCATTTTACCTATTTAATTACGCGCACAGCCCCCTTTTTAAAATGTATAAAAAAATTTTTTTTATTTTTCATATACGACTTGTTGCAAATCAACTTAAAATTCCCATTTAAACATACGGATTTAATAAACATTGCCTTATTGAAACTCGACGTTAAAACAAAGAACAGAGGCCGATAACTCCGATATTCGTGTCTTATTGGATATCAACTTGTATATCACAAAAGCCAATTATTTGTTTATTGATATGTCAGAACGAAATAGTATGAACCAAATATTTCACACACTCCAATAGACAATACAAATACCAATGGTTGATCAGCATTATCACCGTTTTGGGAAACTATTCAAGTTGACAGTAAGTTATTCATAATATTCTTGTATATTTTAATTATGTTATTGTCTAGAATTCATCATAAATACACTACTTTGATTCCACACCTGCTGTAAAATCCCATCACAACACGATGGAGGACAAGGTTAACAATGATTCCCTTTCTCCTCAAGCAATAACAACAACAGCAGCAACTACCCCAACAACAGTTACCTCAACACCCTCTACAATCACACCCTCCACACCCGACACCATAACCCCTTCCTCTCCCTCCTCTCCCTCCACCGTAGCTCCTTCCTCCCCCTCTACTATCGCTTCTTCCTCCCCCTCCACTTCGACATCAACTACGCCAGTCGCCACGCCGCAGCACAACTACTCAATCGACATCGACGAATGACGGTAAGTCACAGTACGCGAACGAGACGTTGTTATCAACGGAGCAGTCACTGAGTGGACGGGAATAGTGCTTTCCTAGGTATTATAATCAAAGTAAGAACCAAATCTTACATAAACATTCTTTCCCTCTAGATTCGGACGTACCGCCACCGCCACTACTACCACCACTACTACCACCACTACCATCGCCACTACTACCACCACTACCACCACTACCACCGCCACTACCACCGCCACTGCTACTGCTACCGCCACCGCCTCGTTATTTCAGACAACGATATTATAGCGTCACGAAGTATTCGTGGGCCAATATCGAAGAAGGTTTAGCTGACAGACTCTCCACGTTCGGTGGTGTCAAACGTAAGCTTGATCTTGTTCGGCTTTAACTTACATAGCATTCACAAATAATGACTGATATCCTGTAAAAGAGGATATGAAACGATAGTAATTAGTATGTGTCTTAAATGATATACATTCGCGTGTCACTCTCTACTTGTAGCGCTAACAACGATCAATTTTCTCATCCATCCACACCCAATTAGAAATATTTCCCGTTTTTAAGTTGTCCGCAACGCAGACGTGAGACTGAAGGGGAGGACGATGTCAATGTTCCGATCTGTCATTCCTAGTGATTTGTCAGAGAATATTGTTATTTAGGGAAGCTACCAAGCTATATTTACTTTCGAACATCCTACATAATTATTTATGTTATTGCATACTATTTTAAGGATTTCTAACAGTATAATGCGCAGGAGAATTCTCGGTCCGCCCCCCTTGTGTTAGCAAATTACCTCTTCTCTAGCTCAATGTCTAAGGTAGTTGTCATGCAAACTTGCTAATGCGTAAGCGTTCAAGAGTATTCGTGGTGGTCATTCACATAATAATAAGGGGTGGGACGTTTCACAGAACACGTGTTTAAGATATGAAACGTTAGCATATCGATAGAGGAGTAAGTTTATGGGAAAGAAGCGATGTAATACGAGCACATGGTTAATACGTTGTGTTTAGGAAATTCTTTCGGACGAAAAAAGTGACGCTTATGTTATTTGGTCCGCGTAATAATAATAATAATAATAATACAGAATGTCGTTGTCGATCGATGTGAGTACATTAAATCCAAGTTTCGTGATTGTCACAATAGAATTTTGCCTAATAACTATGTAGTACGACAATTTTGGTATAAACATTAATATAATATTAACCAAATCTTGTTGGCAGTTCATAATTACTAAAACTTTATTATTATTTGTAATAACATGGATGATAAGGACGCAGAAATTGCTATAAGAATGTGACCCCACCGCCTTTCATATATGCTGCTCTCATCTGCTTCCCCTAAATAATAAAGACAAAACATGTCTCCTCAACAATATAATAATAATAAGGACAAAATACGTCCTCATCAAATTCCAGCAAAAATAGACATTTCACCTATGGTACTAGAAATTGTACCAAGTAGTGTAATAACACTAAGAGTTAGGTCATTAAGACCTTTTTTAATATACACTTTTAGAGGGAATTATTGGGCATTAAAACCCCATTTACCTCTCTTTGCCCACCCTCCCAATAAACTTGTCCAAGGGTCGAGCTCACCCAAGGGCCAAACTCATCGACAATATCCCACTCAATGGTCGAGTAGAGTGGTCGAGGAAGTGAATAAGAGGAAGACTTACGGACTTGCGGACTATTCACGGTCGGCGCCCCTCTCGTCCTTAGCAGGGTCCATCATTAGCAGCTGACTTTAGTAAATCTTCAGCTGTCCGGTTCATTTCCGAGCCCCCATTCATACCTGCCAAGAAAAATACCGTTTTGTAAACGGTTGTCGGAAAGTTTCCCGGGCGGCCTCGTTCTGTTATTTTTTTTTTTTAGTATCAACAGTTCGAAAATTTTAATTAGGCAATACTTATTATTGACCAAGAACGTGTCAAATGGCTTAGCGCCGGCCCTCGTTCTTGTAAAAGATTTTGGGTCAGTTATAATAATAGATGTTATTTATTGATAACTCTTATGTACATGCCACAAGGTATCTTGTAATTTATTCAAATAGTATTAGTATTAGTGAATACCCAGAAACAATACGTGAAATGCTACTTTATTATTATTTATTATTATTGATAGACGCGATTAATAGTCTGTAAATTTGCAGGACCAATGTCGTCCCTAAATTTCTTTCAGTAGACAAAATCATTTCTATTTATGTATTCCAATATTAATATTGGTCGGACTTCAAGCTTAATTTCATATTGTCAATAAAGATATCAATCTTTGGTATTTAATCCATTAATCCCCAAATTTCGAATGAATAGAAACATCCGGATGAGTTATTTATTGTTTATATTGTGAGCCGGCTGTTAAGTGCATAGAGAAACGGTATAAACAGTATAATTTAATCTCCTAAGGGTGGTTCGGGTTGACGAATTGTCGATTCTACAGCGAAGTTGATTTTGTGCGGGGGTCGTAATCCTATCTCTCAAACCATTCTCTCAATAGAGGGGTTAACAAAGCCGACTACTGCGACCGCTCATGCCGCTCACCAGAGACGTGTATTATAACTCTTTCATTAGCTAGTTCTCGAGCTACAGTAATACATTACAAGTATCGAGAACTTGGCGCGGATGCAAACGATCCCATTCTAATTTGCTATTTATGAAATCAATAGAGAAGTTAATTGTCATTTAAGTATGTTCATTTTTTTAAAACCTCAGAAATTTCTCTTGCAGATGAGAGTTCTCATAATTATTCGAATTTTTCCTTTATGGCTTATAGTTAGACGTATAACGATCGTTTGCAAGTAGACGTGAGACAGAGTGTGTAAGTGTAAAATGCCGGAACGCGGAAAAAACGTAGAATGTCAAATGTAGAATGTCGGAACGCGGAAAATGTGAATGTGGAATTACAGTATTATCATACATTGATGAAACAAGGGTCTGTTAATTATTAAATAGAACAACGACGAGAAGTTGTATCAAATAGCCTGTTAACCAAATAAGTATGCATTGTATTAGTATACTCTTTACATGTAAATAAATACGACCATTGTAGATATTTCCATACAAATCATAACGACTGTCGCTAAATATAACATTACATACACTTTAGTGCAACGATATTGACGCTATTGTTAGTCTATTTTCATACAGTGAGACGTTCCAGATGTAGAAATTATGATATTTGCGGCGAACTTGAAAAGATAATGTGAGTTCAAGTTAAAATTTCTCCCACTGCTAATAATAATTATTATTATAAGCGACCTTTCTATTTATGCGTGTCGTTTGTTCTTGTGTATCTGATAATAACATTTGTAATTTTATTTGCGTACTGCGCGAAAATGAATAATACTTATACCAATGACATTTTACATATTGATCTTTGTGTACTCTCCATTTACACACGGGAACTACATAAACTTTAAAATTAAGCCAGCATTTTACAATAGACAGTTCTCGAAAATGGCAAGCTTAATAAAAAACTCACACGATGCTGAAAATACCAAAATGAGAAATCTCTCGCAAAACCCTATCATCGGCTGATTGAAAAATTATTGATTAGGTGATTAGGACGCAGTGATCCAGCCAACTATCAGAAATTGATTCGGCGGTTGTTTCAGTCTTCCCACTAGAGATTGTTCTTTTTCAGACAACTTGCCGCAAATGGAATTGGGTATTCAGATTTACATATCGTACTGATGACTTTGGTCGGCGCCGATTGTATTGCGAAATTGATAATATACACAACTTAATAGGACTATTTTCCATTGCGACACCACAAAATGTACAATTGAAATGCCATATTCACCTATTACTATGCACTTTCCAAGATTGTTTCTATCTCCAGTGCCATCATAAGACGACGCCGCCATAGTCGTCCAGAGAACGGATTAAGCTTGTTCATAATAATCCACAGTACTTTTGGAAGTATAAATTCTCGCATCCAATTCTTTCCTCTTCTACACTTTCGGTAAATTGATTTGACCTGAAGAAGGTTGCGTATATCTTCTCTCGAAATCCGACTGGCATTGTGTGCCAAATTAATTTCCACGCTGTACGCGATACTCGGCAGTGAAGGGCTGGTGTGATTTAAACTTTCGCGGTAAATTGATTTTCCCTGATTGACCACGTTTGGGGTACTTTGATCCACGGCCGCTATACGAGCCCGGTGGGCCCGAAGGAAGATGTCGATGACGTATGAAATAGTTTTCCGTTCCAACTGGTTTATAAGAAAGTGTATATCTAATTGTGGGTTGTACATGTGTTAGCATTTAATTATACATTTGGATCGAGAAAAAGATGTTGAATTGTATTGTATATTCTTTTCAAACGCGATTCTGCCCACGATGCGTTCTCAATAACCGATCAATTTATCTGTAATAAATCGTCATTTAGTAAAATAATTTAACCATTCTCCATCCGTAGAAAGGCTGATTCCATAAACAGGTTATAATACAACACCTTATTCATTTCCTGTATGTAATCTCCTGGAGGATTCTCAGCACAAAGTATAATTCCTAAAGCAACTAATTGCTTATCATTGGACTCTTCCCATCTTGGGAGTCTGTACGGGTTGATTGATACACATGCCATCCAAATTAGTCTCTTCAAATAGCAGTCAATAGATAGAATGCAATCCAACACAATCAACAATTCCCCTCCCGCGTCGACGTTCCAGTTAACAACATCTTGCTTCCGTTTGAGAACTGCAGATGACGTGACAGGGGTATTCAGATTTGATATACCGGGTTCAATGCTGAACTGATGATTCAGATCTACGATGATTGGATTGTCTATAGCATCATCACTCTGTTGATTTTCAGCAACAAGCTATAACGTTGGGTCTTATTATAGACTGAGGACATTGCTGCAGTAAACGAAAATAAAAGTGTGTAAGCCAAATAAATCAAGAAATATGAATCATAAGGAATCGCGAAACAAATATAACAATTTTGTGTATATATTAGTGCTTTTGGCCGGGGTAATACTTTCGGGGACTTAGCACATTCAGTGATATATATTTCCCATCGTTTGACCGAGTCAGACCATATGGTATAGCGTGTCTATTAATAGTAAAAAAGATTGATTTATTCAGCAGTCCGGTGTGACGAAAGATATAGGAGCAATGAATAGTTACCATTATGGAATGCGATGCATAGGTACTCTTTCAAACTAGGCAGCTAACGTCAATCTCAGATGACGCTATTATACTAAAAGGTAGATGGAGCCTATTAGCGAAAGAATCTTACAATCACGGAACTAATCAGACACCACGTTACTAGTCCAACGTTTCCCGACTGTGAATTAGCAAATATTCTTACATACCATTACCATTGTTGGTAATTGAGATGTCTGAGTGAATCCAATACATTAGCGCATTAGCGTTAACTAGGCATGACAAACAAGTCACATCAAGAGGCGTAGCATGGTGAATACACTCTGTTGCTATAATGTCTATAGATAACAATTTGAATGAAAAAGTTTTAGTTAGAGTTTATAAATCATGGTTTACCACAACAAGCTCTTGCATAAATAACAATACCATGCTCTGGTCTCTCTTTGTGAGCTTCTTGGTCTTTCAATTATTGATTCTCCGACTTCTACCATTTCATTACATACCTTCTTCTTTTAACAAGTATTAGACATCGTCTTAACAGTTTATCCGGTCACATGATATTTAGCGAAATTAAGATATGAGCTTGCATGTGTATGGTTGTGTCCATAATAATAATTGTTCAATTCTGACCGAGGAGTCCCGTAAGCGCGTACCAACAAACAGACTTGTTTTAAATTTTTACAATTCACGTGATGAGCATTCAATATTAAAAATATTGATCCCAAGTCAAGAAATCCAAGATCATTTAACCTCTCATTGGATACTTCTTTCACGAACATTCCTTAGCGGGATTTGGTCATAATCTTTAACGAATACTATATCCGTTGGAGCCCGAGGAGCTGTCTGTATTCAAGATACTCTATAATCAAAAGCCTTTTTGAAGGCTACCTTTTCGGCTACGAAGGAAGATACGATGCACCACTAACACTCCGAACTGCAGTCTTGATGAGCAAAGAAAGCAAAGATGGAACTTCAGAAACAGTGGGTTGAAGCTTGCAACCAACAATTAGAAAATAAAATGTCGACAATACCATTTTTAAAGAAGCATTACAGAGATTTCTCCAACTTTCTCGGGAACGACCAAAACCTAAACAGAAAGGCAACGGGGCAAAAATCGCGTTAGTTTTTTGGGGATTCTAATTGACAGTTTGCGCTTACAGCGAATGGCAGTAAAAATGTTACAAATAATGAAAATGGATGTAGGACGTAAATAAAAATACGATTGCGTGACGAGTGAGAGTACATAAGGCACCAATATAAAGTATCAGATATTGTTAAAATAAGGTTAGCTTCCTCGCTATGACTCGCGTCGTGTTCAAAGTGACCGAGTCGACGAATTCAATAAAAATATTATTCAATTTATTATATATTAAAGCGGTCTATAAGAAAAAAACAACACTTGAACTGAAAACAAAAAGCATTGCGTAGGCAGTATTTCAGACTAGAGAGACTACTGTTCGATTGAAGAAAATGCGATTACGCCATTCTCCTATGTTTAAAACTATGTGCAGTATTTCCAAGTGCACAACTATAGGCTACAACCCGTTTAATCCCCAGACTTTCGCATGCTGGCGACGATAATATTTGCAAAGGACATTATAAAAACCACAGGTCATACTCCATATAACTATCACTGTACAAAATAAAATCAAATGATGGGTCAAACTCATTAAGCGGTCTGAACGTGTTGAGCTTGTTTCCGTTGCTTACAGTCTCATTGCGTCGAATGTCAATTTCGGGTGCCTTGCAAGTACACATATTACTGTTATTGCCATCATTAAAAATATTTGGTCCTTTGGGTAATCGTTCAGCAGATCGTTCCGCCGGATAAAGGCTTCGAAAATTAGTAGATTGTTCCGCCGGATAAAGGTCTCGAAAATTAGTAGATCGTTCCGCCAAATAAAGGCCTCGAAATTCAGTAGATCGTTCCGTATATAGTATGCCATTCGTTGGTGCGTCTCCTAAATTATTTGCCGCGTGTACGTAGCCCCTTTGAGTTACGTTGGTAGTTGGGAGTACGTTTTTCCTGTATAGAGTTTGTTTGTTTTTATGACTACGCTTTGTTTGGCTTGTCGGTAGGATCTCATATCGACCCTTGATGTTTTTTATTTCATTGTGCGAAAAATTGTGGGTCATTTTTAGTTGGTGTGTGAACAGCGAGATTGCGGAAATGTGTTGAATGTGTTTGGTGTAATTGAAACTCTTTCGAACTGATAAACAGTTTGTTGTAAGGGAAAACCTGCAATTTATAAGTAGATGGATTTCCTAATCCCACATGAGCGTAGATACTCATCATTGATACTTGGTTCACGTAAAGGATAACAAAGCTATGCAGTATTATTCCACGCTGATCAAATCAATGACTTGTGCCTCGCTCAATAAGCGATCGATTCGGATTTCGATTCAGATGAGCCTTGCCATTAAAGGCAGTTACTGGTGCACCGTTTACAACCCAACATTGTTAATGTCACTTTTATCTCAACTAGGGGGAAAATTGCATGTGGCCGGGGTTCCGCAAACAGTCTGTTGTGATTCTATATAGGTAAACAAATATTGTTCAACACATGTGAAGCGATTTACGTGAGACAAGACGTAATAGTATGCAGCTCTTATAATACTGTACCGTATTGGTGGCATTTCGATTAGATTACATATCGCCATCTATATCTCATGCTTCCCTGTCAAAGTGACGAACCTATAAACTCTGGTCCACACTGCTGTGATTTACATCGTTATCATGTCAGTCAAATAATGGAAGACAAAGACATCGACGAACAATGTCGTTAGGCATATTAACAATCCTTGTACGTCAATTATGAAAATAATGTCCTTGATCTCTTATTCTTTAAAGGTAAATCGAGTTGATGTACAAATGCACAAGAAAATGTTATGATTTCAGGCATAGGGACCCCATGCTAACAAGTATGTATCCGATTTACTAACCCCCTAACAAACTCCAGTCGGATTTATAGCCAACGATGAAGACAACGTAAAGGCGTATTTGGTATTGGTAACATATCAGTATACTGGCCATTCATTCTGTGATAATGAAAGCCGATTGTCAGCGAGTATGTAATCCTTGACAATGTTAATAAGCTTTGAGAAGGTGGGACAGCACATCAGTCATACAAATTTCTGTTATGTAATATTATCAAGGTGACGTCTATGAATAATGCGTATGGTCATATGATTGAAATTACATTATCACAAACTTGTAAAATTTTCCATGCTTTGAATACCGTGAATTAGCCCGTATTTAGCGTACAATCTTACATTGAGAGAGGGCGTGTATGATAGCCTGCATTCTAATATAACTTGACGACACGTTTACGCAAACATTTTTGGTAGATTATTTATGATGTAATGGGAGAAGCGAACAGTTGGCATGAGAGCATTAAAACACGCTACATAGTTGTCCATACTAATAATAACTTTTTGCTTTAATAATTAAAGAAAATCTGTGGTTCTGAATGAAATAATTAATTCAATTTCTCGACGATTGCGATTAATTTATTGCAAAGTTTTATATTTTACATTTACATTCAATTTCTCGAGGATTGCGATTAATTTATTGTAAAGTTTTATATTTACATTTACATTTGTATCTTTCTTTATACAATTTATTTTACGTTTTAAATTTACTGTAAAGTTTTACGTCTATATTATTTATTTATTGTTAACCTAATACTAATAATTTATCTATATCGTCTCAAATAACCGACATCAAACGTGTGTGTCGGAATTGACACACACATTATTTCCAACACACACGGTCATCATCAAACGTGTGTGTCGGAAGTGACACAATGTCATTTCCGACACACACAAGCATCAAACGTATGTGTCGAAAGTGACATAACCGTCACTCCGACACACACGATCAAACGTATGTGTCGAAAGTGAGACACTGTCACTTCCGACACACACGATAATTTTAATATTTTTTTTTTATTATTATTTTTTTATATTTTATTTTATATTTTATTTTATTTTTTTATTTTTTATTTTATTTTTTATTTTATTTTGTTTGTTTTATTTTTATTTTATTTTGTTTTATTTTTATTTTATTTTTATTTTTTTTTTTTATATTTTTTTACTTCTATCTACAAATAAGTTTCTTGGTGCGTATAGCACCCGACACAGACAACAACTCCGGACCCACGTGGAGCATGAGAACCATCTTTGGTTCTGTCGTATAATTTGCCGCTGGTCCCGCACGGTCCAATGGCGTTGGCGTAAATGTGTGGCGGCGGCAACCAATCCCCGCTTGTTCAGTATATGTAACTGCTTGGGGACGTAGACTCTGGTCGCCATTGTGCCAGGAGGACTCGGTCCGACTCTGACAGACCTTCGTAAGCGCTGGCGGCTCCTCACGAGTGTTATTATAGGTGAGGGGTACGTAATATTGTCGTCGTCGTCGTCGTCGTCAAGGCAAAGGTTGCCGGTCGTTTATCCCGATGTTTGCTCACCAAGCCGGAGTGAGATGAAGAAACGGGTGATTTTAGCAGGTTTGAAAAAACGGATTGGTTTGTTGCCCCGTTGTTGTTACTTTGTTTATAGCGGGATTGCGAAAAGCGCGGAGGTATGATATAATTTTGTATTGTAGGTTTGTGGGTTTGTGGGTTTTGGATGTTGAGTTATGATGTTTAATCTTGTTAAAGATGTATTTTGATGCCGTAAACCTATGCTTATTTATATACAAATACAAATATCGGTTATCACGGAACATCGCTAACCGGACACACAAACGGACGTTCTCGGTGCCAAGCAAAGGATTCGTATAAAGTTGTACAAGATCGCATGAACAATATTGCAATACATGCAAATACGTAATTTTCACAAATGCGAAGCAACTAACGACCAGTCATTGGTTGATCATTGAGAGGCAAAGAGACAAAGAGACAATATACCATACGCGTGCAATATCTAGCTATTTTAGACCTTTTGTTTATTTTGTAAGAGGACATGGAACATTCTTTGTTGTACTACGCATCTCTCCATCAACAATCAGTTGGCGTTTGTTGAGTTTTAAATCGGAACTTGTAGTGAACAGATCCGTGATTCTATCTTCTATTGTCGACTTGTACGCTGGTCAAATCACAAACGAGATGCACGTATACATGTCTACTTTATTGTAAATACATTGTCTGGTGATATTATATTGCATTTTGTCCCACCAACAACAAATGGCAAAAAGACAAAGAGATTTGAGCCTGTCATGTATACATTTTAAGAAATAGTAGGAAAATCATAAGGATAAAGTACGATGTATATTTAATATGAGGTTTTATTGATAAAGACAAAGTAGTCTTTAACATGTTGGGGTGAGATGTAAATATAATTCATGTATAATACTATAACTTTATATAAATTAAAATGCTAAACACCAAATACAAATATTCTCTATCATATATCACTAGGCATATTGAGGCTATTGGTGTTTCAGTAATCCAAAGTCTGATAGGTTAAATATCAATGTGTAATGATACCAATACTGATACATACGGGCCATAACCCAAACCTTATTGAAAATGCTTTATTATCATATATTAATATTAATATACTAACATTACCCATACATATTATATACTATTATGTGATTGCGCATTATCGTATGTATTCCCACCCCAACAGTTGAGAAAAAAAAAAACTCTTGCATTCCGCACACAATCTGAGAATGCAATGTCCATTTCTGATGTGAATAAACGTGTGTATGTCCTACAAGTATCAGCTTGCAGAACAGCTTTCGCTTATCATATGTGTATAGAAACATGTACATAAAACAGAGAACGAAAATTCGATTCCTGAAATAAAATAAAGTCATTCCAATTGGAAAGAAAATAGGTACTTTTATTCACAAACAATCGATGAACATTACATAAAGTTGTGCTTTTGAGTATTATTATCAGCGTAAAGATGTCTTTGGTGGCGTTGGTTGTGACGCTTTGAATGCATGCGGGTTTATACTAATATACAATACACATGATGATCGTTACTATAACAATATTCTGCTGTACCACTGCCAATTGTTAACAGACGAAGAAGAAACCCCAAAAATTCATGTTGGGAGATAACATCAACGACAAGATGTCGCTTACTCTCGCCTGGGTAAAATGTAGGTTAAAAATGCTTGCAGTATACTTCTTTTATTGATGTGCTGAACGCATAAATAATACCATTTATACAGTGTCGAGATATTTAAAAACGACATTGTCATGTTATGCATCTTTGCCATCAACAAACAATAGGTACACCGCATATGACTATAAGAGTATGTAAAGTAACAATTTATGTTAAAATGATTAGGTTCACTGTATACTCCGAAAAGAGTTAAATCTATACAAAGATCAAAACGTCTTTGTTCCGTGAACGGTGCATATGAATATCATACACAGATGATAACACAATTATCATATACAATCGTTGTGATATCAAATAATGGGTCATCAGACATTCCATATTCTCTCGCCAACGAACAATAGCTACGATATCACTGCTGATAAACACTACTTGCTGCGCAGTCATTCATGACACATCGTTCAGGGCCTGTGCTTATTTCGAAACCATAATAATAATAATAATAAGCAAACCATAACGTGATTTTGCATCAATGAAATCGAATCATTGGTCGATTGAGTAACACCGAGTGTCTGCAATATTTAGAAATTTCTGACAAGGGTTCACAGCAGATTGTTTACCGTCCCCAACAACCATCTATGTTTTAAAACGTCCTTGTAGACAACAGACTTTTTTTTTTTTCAATGACAAGAGATTATAACTTAAACTCTCTTCCGAGGCTCTTATCGCCTCTTAAAATATTCTTTGGCAATCTCTCGCCTCTGTTTCGACCGATATATTGGCTATTCTTCAACATGCCATATATCGGTTACTTTTATTTTACCGGTAAGCCCTTCTTTTGTGGTAATGGGGGTTGGTGGTGGTATCGTAAAGTGTTTATAGCAGACGTTTAGTGCCAACGTGTGAAAAGGCTTTAGCATGTACGCCACGTTATCGACGTTTTCCTGACCTTAATATCTCGAGAGTTGGCGTCCAAACGAAATATCAAGCTTACTAATTCTTCCTTACTCGATTGTTTAATAGCGCCTTTCCTAATTATTAGGAACATTGTTGGCCCGGGCAATGGGCAACAGAGACAGGCGATTTATCAGGGTAAGTTATAATTGGAACAGAAACTGTCTACGTGCTTTCACCCTTTTGCTAATTGTTTTAATATATCAACGTGTAGTTGCTTCGCTTGTAATCCTCCCTAGTTACCGGGGAGGTTTTTAAATTATTTATTTTCATTTGTTATCGTAAGTATAAAATAGGCTTCATCGATGCTGTATATATATGGCTTGTTATGCTCATCCTAATCCTTTAATTCATTGTCATTCATTCATCAGGCGAACGGCCGATATAAATAAATGGACACGAAAGACCGGTAAATATTATTTTGCATACTCTCTTTTTTTATTCTTGCGAAAAGATGAACTTTTAATAATCGTGAATGAAAACTTTTTAATCATAGGCCGTTCCTCCGGGTTCCTCATGCGGCGCGAGACGAAGAAAACAATACGTCACGCGCCCGTGTGGGGAGGCTCTGGAGAATATTATCGGGGTCCTCCATTGGTAAATATATTTACACATTTTCTCATATGCTTTCCTCTTTTCGACTATGCGGATGTTATAATGACTTGGATAGTGCTCTTATTTTCGTACATTATACTAATCGTGAAACAAATCCCTTCTTCTTATCCCCAGATATCGACGTGTGGCACGCTGTTGGACTGCAAGGCTGTCCGTCCAACTTCGCAAGCTCTCGCCAAGTCATGGCGCGAGAGCCATCCCCTGGCATGCACAAAGCTGTGCAATGGCTCCGGGCAACCACGGGGTGGTTCGCAAAATATGTAATGGCTCGGGGCCATGGGGCGGTTCGCAAAATATGTAATTATCTAGAATGCCAAATGTTCAACTTGTTGTTTGTACTGATTTGTTATTAAAAGTCACTCGTGACTGAAACATATAAATAAACATCCGCAAAAATTGTTTCTCCAATGTATATTCGGAAAGAAATGTGGCATACGACACGGGATTTATGACGCATATTATTTAGTATATTGCCTTTATTTACAGTGATCTAATTTTTGGTCGACGACAAACATCGATCGCTCTTGTTCTTTGATGCAACGACTATGAACATCCACATGATGGTTGGTTTACGCATCAAATAAAGTGACGTAAAACTTTATATACTTTCGTCGCTGAGACTGTAAGATTTGACTATTCGCATCGCAACCTCAGAATTTCTTATAACTTTTATAATTCAGTCTTATCGTATATATCCTCTTAATACATGATGATCATCGAAAATGCCGTGGTATGAGGCACGTCCTTGCCGAACGGCCGTTCCGCTACTTCTACGCGTTCAGATAACGCAGGACCTTTGCGTGATACATTTGATAGACCTTTTCCTGGTCTACCTTCACTCCAATACCATTTTCATAACATCTCGCTAATCGAAACACGAGTATTTCACCCTTCGTAACAAGCGCCAAGTCTGTGTTGTGTCTCGACATCGCCTTGTTCAGCCGCCAATTGGTCAATTCTTACACTATTTCCGGACTTGTGACAGTCGCCCAAGCGTCAGCATTTCCTCGCTGAGCATCCCTTTGATATTGTCTTGTGTTAACCATTTCGGATAAGTCGTATGATATATAACGTGGGTATGTATGGGATGTCGTGTTGTAGTATGTTCCGTATGGCATAATCCGTTGTAGTATGTGTCTCGTATGGCATAATCCGATGTAGTGTGGTAGCTTCCCCTATACAAGCTAAAGGAGACGATTATCCGAACCTGTCGCAGTATAATCAGAGAATCGCTCAGTTCGGGGTTCACTCAAGAGTCATCTACTCGTGAATAAATTTCGAGTAAGAACTCGGGCTCTTTTTTCTTCGCCATGGCAATAAAAATGTCGGGTAATTTTTCACAGGGGAGCTCCTTGCCTTCATCAGAGCGTTTCAACGGAACCTGGTCTCAGCAGGGTTCAAAAACCGAAGGACCGTATATCTGTGATTGGCCGATCGTCTGGGCCGCGACCGCAATCGTGCAGCGAAATTCGTCTGATGGGGATTGGGAAATTCTGATGCTA